TCCCTACAGAAGGCCGTCAAGCCTTGGTAAAGACAAGGGTCATCGAAGGAGAGGGAGACCCTCAACGAGGTGGGCTCCCATAGTAGCTACAACAATGGGCCAGAGAGGAGTTTGTGCAGAGGGGCGAAGATAGTGAAGGGGCAGAGATTGTGAAGGGGGCGGAGATTGTGAGGAGGCGAGGAGATTGTGAGGAGGGGGCGGAGATTACGATGAAGGGGCGGAGATTATGATGAAGGGGCGGGGATTGTGATGTCGTTGCTGATGTCAGATGGATCCAGACTGAAAGTAAGGAATACAAGAAGAATGTGTGGATCATAATAAATTGTGGCTGACATTGAGAATAATGGTAATCCCAGAGTATTTAACAGTGCTCCTGTGGAACCTATACCCAGACCAGAAGGCTGTTGTGTGAATGGAGCATGGAAATACTGCAAGGTTTAAAACTGAGAAGAGAGTGGTATTCTCTCTCAGTACCTATTTAATCTGTAGGCTAAGCAAATTATTTGAGAAACTGGACTCAATGAAGAGAAGTGTGGCATCAGGATTGGAGGGAGACTCATCAGTAACCTGCATTATGCAGATGACACAACCTTGCTTGCTGAAGAGGACTTGAAACACTTGTTGCAGAAGATCAAGGAATGCAGACTTCGGTATGGATTGCATCTCAATGTCAAGAAGAAAACATTCTCACTGGACCAATAGGCAACATCATGATGGATGGAGAGGAGATTGAAATGGTCAACAGCTTCATCTTGCTTGGATCTACAATTAACCCCCTTGGTACCAGCAGTCAGGAAAGAAGGAGATGCACTGCATTGGAAACTCTGCAGTTAGGTACCTCTCCAGTGTATTGAGGAGTAATGATGTCAATCTAAGGACTAAGGTGCACCTGATTCAGTCCATGGTCTTTCCAATCACTTGCTGTGCATCTGAGAGCTGGACAATGAATATGGGTGACAGAAAAAGAGCTGTGGTGTTGGAGAAGAGTACTGAACGTTTCATGGACTGGCAAAAATAACAAATATGTCTTGGAGAGGGTGCAGCTGGAGTGCTCCTTGGAGGCAAGAACGATGAGACTTCACTTCATGTACTTTGAGCATGTTGTTAGGAGGGACATGATGCTGGGAAGGGTGGAGGGTCGGCAAAGGTGAGGAAGACCTTCAACCAAGTGGATTTATATCTTGGAAGAAGTGTAGCCAAAATGCTCCTTAGAAGTGAAGATTGAGAGACTTCATTTCTCATATTTTGAGCATGATCTTAGGAGGATCCAGTCCCCGGAGAAGGACATCATCATGTTGGGGAAAAGTAGGTTGGCAAAAATGAGGAAGACCCTCAACGCGATGGATTACCACAGGGGCTACGATCAAGGATGACAGAGGTTATAGAGATGATGCAGGGTTTTGTTCAGTTGCACATGGCGTTGCACTTTGAGTTGGAGTTGATTAGACGGTACCTAACACCAAGAGGGAACCATAGTGTGTGTGTATATATTACCAGGACCAACGCAGAGCCAGCTCTCCAATGGGTTCTCAGGGGCAGTAAATCATAGGAGAGTTGACTGCCCATCTTTCTCCCCCAGAGTAGCTAGCTAGCAGACTCGAACTGTGTACCTTAAAGCTGACAATGCAATTTCTTACCACTAGGCTACCAGAGCTCCCTATTCTATGTAACTGCATATAGCTATGTGTCATTTAAGATGTACAATATGTTCTGGGGGGAAATTATATGACTTGGACCTTTTCCAAACAGAATCTACTATCAAACCAACCCACCATTTACTGCCATCCAATCAGTTTCAATCCATGGTGGTAACTTTATAGGACATGACAGAAGTTCGTAGAGCTTCCAAGGCTGTCATCTTGTTTTGTTTGAAAAAAAGAAATTTTCTGTTTATTTCTTCTTGATAACGGAAAGGCAAAGGAAAATTACCTCTTGACCAGGGAATGACAAGAAAATTAAAATATTGCCACACGAACAGAAATCGTTGTGGCCATCTTTTAGGTTTGTTTTTGTTTGTTTTTAACAGAGATTTTGGGTTTCCATTTATTCACTGTTGCACTGAGACTGTCATCACTGTGGAAGCTGCCAGCCACATCTTCCTCCAGTGGAGTAGACCTTGGGTGCTAGACTAAATGGACCGTGGTGTGGCTAGAGCCAAATGTTTGACCACTGCACCACCATTAGGGCTCCATAGCAAATAAGCACGCCCTAATTGAAAACAGTAGCACTCAGTGATTTTCCGCTTTCGTGTCCGTTAATAACCTCTTGTTTCACTTCCAGAAGGATACTTCTCCTTTGCTGCACTGGTTTTTCTGTGTTTGGGAGCCATGGTGCCCTTCGCCAGAATGTTATAAAAGACAATGGGATGTGGAGAACGTTCCGAGACTTGAGAGGATCACTGTTACACAGGACAGGTTATTTTTAGGTAGAGAAGGTGCATGTTAAAATAACTATAGAAAGTACAGTGCAGAACATACAGAAACCAGTAACAGACATTTATTATGACTATTCACATTTATTATGGGTCATACCACAGGTATTAATTACATGAGCCGCTGTATATCTAGAGAGCAATGACTTTACACACAGGAGAAGAGAAGTGGTTTTGGTTGCTGTGTCCTAGTTCTCTGATCAGGATTTGGAACTCTGTTTAGCATTGTGGGACCACTAATTTGTTTTCACTCTGTGAAATGGTTCACTAGCAATTTGTAGGTAAACATACCTAAGCTTGTGCTTACCTGGCTTCCTTGGGACTCCATCCTTGGCAGAGCTGTCAGTTGGAAAAGAGGTCTTAATGCTGTAGTAAGGTGCCGCAAGATTTTTTTTTTTCTTTTTAATTATTTTGTGTGCGTGTACCGTCAAATCAGATCTGACTGGTACAGGAGGATATTGCGCCTCCTTCTCCGGCAGAGCATCTGGTGGATTCAAACCGTGTTTCTCTGGGATTGCAGTGAGGTGCCGCAAGATTGAGAGACAGGTGTCAGCCATTCATGGAGGGAAATTCTGATGTGGAGCGGAATGATGTTCACTACCAATTAGTAAACAAACACCAGGAAGTGCTCACCTTCCAGATTATCAGGTAATCCAGCCCTGCTGCCACCACCTAAAGCTTGTTTGCAGATTAACCAGGTAATCCAGCACCGCTGCTACCACCTGAAGCTGGTTCAAGAAACTTAGAGGAGAAAACAGGACCAGTTAACAAGTTTAGTGCTAGCTGAATTGGCTCAAGCACTTCAAGCAATGTTTCTCAGTGTCTAACATGAAAGTGAGTCGGATGCATATGCTGTTACAATGGCCGCAGAGAAATGTGTTGGGACGCTAGATAAACTAGGTGTTCATGCAACATTCAAATCATATAACGTCCTATTTCACAGAAAGCATTGTGAATATTAAACAATATGTGATTCTGTGTGTGTATGTCTATCCATGGAGGTGTGGTGGTTCTAGTCTATAACCCAAAGGTCCAAGGTCCAAACCCACCAGCTGCTGCGCAGGCGAGAGATGTGGCAAAATTACCTTAAAAGGTTCCATACAGCCTTGGAAAGCCTATGCGGCAATGGTACTCTGTCTACAGGGTCTTGAAGAGTCAGAATCAACTCACTGGAACATAACTAGCTATGAAAACATACGATTCTGAGCAACCCCAGGCATGTGGACTACAATTGCTCCATAGTATTTTCTAGGTTGTGGCCTTCGGGAAGGAGAACACTAGGACACACCTGCGGGTCAGTTTAAACGTCCAAGCTTTCAGGTGTTTGTGCCGTCCAGGGGGGCTCCATAGAAGTACATATATTTATGTCTGTATGTAAATAATACATCAGTGTGCAGTATGAAGTAACCGGGGCTCTGTGATGATGAACCTTGTACCTTTGGGGTATCAAATACCAGAATGGTTTCCCAATGTGGACAGTGTTGGTGGAGCTCCCGATTGTAAAACAGGTGTGGAAGCAGGACCGACATCCACTTCCTAAAGCACATGCTTTTGGAAACTCTGTGAACTTGGAATTGACAATAGTTATGGAAAGGCGTTAGGTCTTTTGTTCATAGAGAGTAGCTATGAGTCGCACTTGACTCGATGGCAATCAACAACAACAACAACAACATGTAAATAATACCAATCTTCATTTTAACCATCCTTAGGTTGCAATTCAGTGACATTAAATTCAGGATCGTTTGATGTCACCTGTGCCTCTGCCTTTCTCATCATCCATTTACTTATTTATTTTTAAACTCCTTTTTAAAATTTATTATTAATTTCAATGAAAATTTACAGAGACTTTGGGTTTCCATTCATTCGTTGTTGCACTTTTCTTCCCTCTCAACCCTCCTCCCTAGTACACTACCCTCTTGGAAAAGTAAAAGACAAATTCTTTCATTGCTTTACAAACCCTTCCCCAGGCACACTCCACTATGCAGCCTTCGCTCTAGACGCCTGTCATGACAAAAGTACCTAATCACATATCCCTTTTAAAGTTTTCTCCCTCATCTGTTTCAATGCAGTATACATTATTGAACCCATCTTTCTCAGTCTCCCCCCAAGCCCGAGGTCAGTCCTGTTTTGCAACAGCGGCACCGTGCAATATTTGTCCTTTTGTGACTGAGATAATTCACTCAGCGTGTCCTCCAGGGCATCCATTTATTTTTATGTTTACGTCAACCACTGGGGGGCGGTCGACGACCACACAGCCCCGCTCTCCCCGCCGCGCCGCTCCGGCCACGCATGCGCGACACACCTGCGGGGCTGAGAGCGGCGCAGGCGCAGAGCCCGCGGCGGACATTGTGACGTCAGGCGGCGCAGCCGGGCTGGGTGCGGCGGCGGACGCTCCCCGAGCGTGACGCGCGGAGGTGCCTGCCCCGCGGCCGCCGCCTCCCTC